AAAGCAGACGCTGTGTGATTGGCTGTGTGGGGAAAAAACAGGAGGAGCCTGGTCGCTTCATCTTAGGTAGGAGATACAGTCAGATTACAATCAAACATGTTTCCATGGTTGCATGGTTTAGTATTATAAATGCAGTTTATTGTTCACACTGATTGATTATTATGTTTTGGTTTACAGTCAGTGGTGCAGGTACTATCTACATCAACAGTGGAAGTGCTAATTCCACACTGTAAAAATGAAAATGTTACTTCCTAGAAATGTAAAAGGTGATCAGATAAATGCATTAAACTTTGAATGGTAAAAGTTCTCACTAAAATAAGATCATTACTCTGCATTAATGTGATGCAGGTGTAGGGATTGAGTGACAAATCTTAATTATTTGCAACTAATATTTCGTTGTGAATTCATCTGGCTAATATCTTCTCCTTTCATTGATTGATTGATTAGTTTGTAAAACATCACACATAACTGTAAATGTTTTCTTTCTTTATTTTTGGTGAAATTCATATTCAAAACCTCAAAGTTATTCAGTTCAAAACGAGGAAGCGAAGCAACGTCTCCCTTTTGAGAAGCTNCCCCCCCCCCCCCCCCCTCACCCTGATTCCACGCTCTGCCTACAACATGTTAACTTTCCTGCTCTGTGCAGAAACAGCAGAGGCTGAACCAGACTGCTGGGCAGAGCCAACAACAGTCCACAGTCTAACAAAATACATTGGTGATCCAGATTGCTTGACAAATCATACAAGCTAACGGTAAGCAGAAGCGAAACAAACCTCAACAGCAGCACTCCCACTATCACTGTGATGATGTGTAAAGCTCTTTGCTTTGCATGGTCAACCCTCTCCCTGGGCCCGCCCCCCGGCCCTGGGTGAGTCAGGACTTTGAGAATAGAGAAGAAGAAGAACAATACAACAGTGACTGACATGCCCAGCAAGCAAAGAAGTGGGATGACAGGAAAATCAGGCAAGTGCTTCATTGTTACCCCGATCCATCCCAGGGACAGCAGCCAAACACAGCCGAGGCTGATGTTTCTGAATCTCACCCCCAATGTTTGTTTCAGACGCTGGTAGGTGATCGGGTGGACGACGGCCAGGTAGTGCTCCACACAGATCAGACAGTGCAACAAAGTATGTCCGGGGAAAACGATGCAGTATAAAAACACCCCCAACATCAGCACTGGGTCGATATAGCTGTAGGTGCCCCAAATGTAGAGGACTGACCCGAAAACAGCAAAAAGGTCGACAGTGACCGTGTGATAGGTGATGACGTCAGTGTGACTCATTGTCTTCCCTGCAGGCACAGAATGCTGATGCCTCTGTCGTTGGAAGCCGATGTAGAGGACGAGGATGCAGAGAGGTAAGATGAATAGGGTGAGGATGAAGGTGTACGTGGCTATAAGGATCGTGCTCCCTAAAGAGTTTTGACAGTGGTAGATAGAAGAGATGGAGGAGTTGGATGAGGAGAGGGACGGAGGTTTGTGGGTAATGTTGACGGACATGGCCTGTGGATTAAATGGACAAAATAAATCACTTATACTTATGATGGTCTTCCCACACTGCTGCACTAAACCTGTTTGGCCTCATGCAACAACACCAGGATGAACACAAGTTGCACATTTAACTGATGCAAGAGAATTTATGGCATTCATCAATTTTCATCAATAAACAGCAGTGTTATAATTAGATCTGAGTGCTCGAGAAGTCACATGAGTTTATGTTATTTCATATCCGTTAAAAAACAGTTGTCAATGCGATCATGTATTTAGAATACTGCAGAAGGAGACAAACCTCTTTAGTGGTATTTTGTCTTTCTTCAGAAGAGATGAAGTCGTGTCCTTGTCCTGCTTCTCCACGGACTGCTTCAGGTGGATGTTCTGTCAGAGCCACTGTCAAAGCAGGTGTATGTGGAGCAGATGGAAAACAAGCAGAGCTGGGAATAGTTTGCATGTTACACAACCTCCAATGGTCACTTCATGAAATCTAACCTGTGACCAAGATTAAGTGTTTTTCCATTTGCTCACTCTGAGGGTGACATGCACACTCTCACTAGCATAGTCACAGTCATTTCATTGTGGAAGTAAGTGTCGATTGGTTCTTTGCTCTGTCCGTCCAAACGAAGATCTCTTGAAAATGTCTTCTCAGGCGACGTCGCAATTCGTCTTTGCTTGTGTGAAGGACCATGTCAGAGACTCCTTGTCCTGTTTAAAACCTCATTGATCGGGACAGAAGGGGGCAAATCTGCTGCACAGAGACCTGTTACCACAAGAGACTCAGAGGAATGTCTCAAATCATAGAAATGCTCCAGTGTCTACTGGGACTTCCACTTCTGGAACCAGTGGTGACTAAAGTATCTATAGCTAACTTTTGCTGCTATCGTTATTTATGTCTACGAGTAATCAACAGCTACGGCAGTGAGGTTTCCAAACCACGATACAAACATCCATGATCTTGTAATTCAATAAGGAGATGATGGATCCGATATATCCCAACGCTGAAGTATTTTTCCAGAAACTCGAAATACAAACCAAACCACAGCTCAAAAACTCAAGGTAAAAACTGAACCCTTCATCTGGAGAACATCCCTGTCAAACAGCAAGGCGAAAGCTGTAACTGAAAGCATAACCTAAGAAACATGCAAAACCCTGACGACTCTACGTACAGTTTAGCAGCACCATAGAAATAAACCCCTGTGTTGCACTTCTACACAATTTTTCTAAAATAACAAACACTCTACTTTCATCTCATCTAGTTTCCACCTTCGTTCAAATTGCGACTAAACCACGCAAGTGCTCCTGCTCTGTGTAAAAAGAACAGAGGTGGAACCAGGCTGTTTGGAACACAGAGCCAGCTTCCAGACATTAGCACCACACATACATAGTTTTCATATTCCCACTCCGTGCCAAAAATTATATTGCCAATCAGGAGCCCACAAGACCTCAACAACAGTGCTCCCGTTGTGGCCAGAATATAAATAAAAGCCCTCTTCTTTGATTGGTCCATCTGTTTCTGACCTCCACCAACTCTCCCCAGCCCGAGACGAATCAGAGTAGAGATAACAGAGAGGCTGCAGAAACATAGAACAATCATGATGATGACGTAGACAATGGCAAACATATAAGTGGGGAACTGAGGGAAGAACCAAACTGTTAAACCCATCAGTATAATGCTGAGAAGCCAAATACACACAATGCTGTTGTTTCTGACTCTCACCCTGTCCGAATGTCTCAGGCCTCGGTAAGTGATGGGGTGAACAACAGCCACATAGCGCTCCACACAAGCCAAGCAGTGAAAGAAGGTCTGCGCCGGGTAAATGGAACAGAAACAAAAATACCCTAACATCATCAACGTCAGACTACACATGTCGATGGCACAACAGTAGGTGACAAATCCCAAAACACTGACAATCTCCAGGATGATCATGTGGTAGGTGAGGACATCAGAGTGGCTTATTATTCCTGATGCCACAGAGCACTGATATCTCCATCGACGGAAACCCATCCAGAGGACGAGGACGTACAGAGGAAGGAGGAGGACATTGGTGATGGTTAAGGTGATGAAGATCAAGGAGGAGGTGGTGTGTTTTTTAAAGCATGTGAAGATGATAGGATAGAGAGAGGCATTTGAATGGCAGAGGAGAGGTGAGGATGTGGTGATGATGGAGGACAAGTTGAACGGCATGTTCGATGATTCAGAGCCTGCAGGGCGGAGGAGGCAATGGTTAAACAGTGGTCACTGAAGGGAGGCTAACATCTATTGAATATTTCCAGAGATCAGCTGTTGCAGTCAGAAATGAATATAATTACAGTCATGAAAATGGTACTTTAAAAAAAGCATTATTCTCCAAAACAAAGATCTGAGTCAAATAGCACATCCAGATTTTATGCTGCAGGGTTGAGGACTAGTGAAACCTGGAAGATGCAGTGTCATATCTGTGGCCTCATCTTTAAATGTCAAAATGTAGTTCAAATAAAATGTATGATAAATGCTACAATCAAAAGATTAAAAATCGACCAACCTTGTAAGCAGTATTTCTATCTGATATTCTCTCTGAAGCTTGTTCCTCACTCGTATGTTGCTCTGGTAAAAATCATCTGCGGAATGAAATGTAAATGTTCTTTTTATATTAACAGGTGTCCTTTCAGAATAATGATGATTGTTGTTTTTATCTGTGGATGGAAATAGGCAGCTTCTTTGCATGATGCAAAATTATAGTCTGCATTCTGACAGTGATTTATTTAGTGCTTGTTTTCTTTGTTCAGGAAAAGAATTGACAATTTCAGAGAAATTTGCACCAAACAAATCAGGGCGGTCTATGACCAGGGTCATGAAGTTACCACCACAGCACCGCCAGCACCCCGGGCAGTACTTCACAACCATCATCACCTGAAAGGAAGTACAACAATGATAGTACACTAGATTTACAACTATTTGGTCTGATGCAGAATGTGTAGTTTTTAACTTTTCATCGTTTTGACAGGTGACAACAAAGTGCAGATGAAAATATATACGACACTGCAGAGGGAGCTGGCTGTATGAGTGCAACTGTGATAACACAATAACATCGCTATACTGATATGTGTGAAAAACTCTTAATATTATTTTGTTTAAAGATACAAACTTATATTTGTCAAGAAAATGTGTTGATGACCCAATCGTCATCAAAAATCTTAATAACAATAACAGTAAAGATAAGGAAGAAATAACTTGCACAGTATAAACATTTAATTCAAACTGATTACAAACACTATCTCCAGGCATTTTACATAGTCAAGTCCAGACCCTGTGTATGTGTGTGTATATACTTAAATATATATATATATATATATATATATATATACGTATAAATAGAGGAAATGCTCTCTTGACTGAGCCACTGAGACCAAACGATATATTAATAATAAATCCTAACTTTATGAGAGATGATTATCTTTTTATTTTTACCATCATAATAAAGCGGGGGACCCGGAACCTTCCGTCCCGTGTTTCCTGTCGGACTGTTTTTATGGCTGGACCTCGGTACGTTGAACTTGGGAGCAGCCGCTTTGATCTCCTGTTTTTTTCCTTTCTGTTCCTCCTCCTTAAGTGACTTTGATCACAGATGTCTCCTCTCCCGCGGTTACTCCGCAGCGGCCCCGCGGCCTTCCGGCAGCTGTGGCGCCGCAGACGCTCGGAGAAGTTCGTGAGTTTGTGTTTTGACGCGAACTTTCTGCGCTTCAGCTCCTCGGCTGCGTTTCCCCCGAACACACGCACCCGCAGCGGCTCCAGGTGCTACACCGACTCCGCCAGGACCCGACCGGTCCGGATCGGCTGTGCCTCCGGGTTCTGGGGGGACACAGCGACCTCAGGTACAGAGACAGACACTGTCCAAGTGAACTGCGAGGACCTGGACGTTCCTGTGGTTTCACCGTGTTTCTGTATGAACCTCAAAATGACTGGAGACACTAAGAACAGCTGTTGATCACTTCATGTTTCAATCACTAATATTTAACAGTCATGATCCAAATACTTCACATTATATAAAACTTAAATAGATTAATCCGAGACAGAAACGTACAAACAAACAAATACATCAAAATAGATCTTGTTTATATTCAGATATATATTTTACTCCTCAATATTATATAGTATTAGCACTGGCCCTGAAATACTCTGAATGGGTATTTATACATCAAAACATTCCAGCCACTGAAACAATGATGAACTATAACCTCAGTTACTTTAATAGAGCATCAGACCCACACGAGACTGGACGGAGGAAATCACAGGGGGTTAATGACGTCATCGTCCTCAGCACATACGTGTGTGTCGCGTTCATGGCTAACGACATCGTGTGACATCATTGATTTATTGTGTGTAATCATATATGTGTGTGTTCTCAGTGCCTCAGCTGATCTACAGCGGGAAGCTGGACTTCCTGGTCTTTGACTACCTCAGCGAGATCACCATGTCTCTGCTCACCGCCGCCAAGGCCAAGATGCCTGTAAGTCAAGCCGTGTGTGTGTGTGTGTGTGTGTGTGTGTGTGTGTGTGTGTGTGTGTGTGTGTGTGTGTGTGTTTTGTCTGTATTGATTCTTCACTGCCTTCGATCTGTGTAAAACAATGATAACATCAAATGCTGAAAACACTGAAGAGCACAAGTTTTATAATGACCCTCACAAATCCAAATGTAATATTAAGTTTTATGGAAAACTTTTAGCTTTTATAGCAGATATATATATATCAGAAAAAAACATTGACTCTTCTTTACCTGAAAGTCCAAGTGCCATCATGTGATAAACTGCCTGATAAACTGTGTCCTCGTGCAGAATCTGGGCTACGCTCCGGATTTCGTCCACATCGCTCTGGCTCCGTTCATTAACGACATCCACAGGAAAGGTGAGTGAGAACAGAAACCCCCTCGTTGTTCGATGACTGTTCTACTGCTTAAAATAGTTTCCGATTAATTTCTCTTCTCAAAAAAATGACACCAATCACTATTTTCTTTTTATCTCGAGCCTTTGAATGTTGTTTTGGCTGTTTCCATGGTAACCACAGACTCACAGCCTCCTCGTCGCAGGTATTCGTGTCGTCAGTAACGCAGGAGGCGTGAACCCTCTGGCCTGCGCCGAGGCCATACAGGAGGTCATCAAGAAGGCGGGCCTCGACCTTAAGGTCGCTGTGGTTACCGGCGATGACCTCATGCCCCATGTGAGACCCACCCCCCCAACATGATCATTTTTTTATGTGTAATTTCTAACAATCGTGACGATGATTTTTTTTTCTCTTCTGTCAGAGAAGCAGCCTCGCTGAAGTAAAGATGGCGGACGACGGCAGCAGACAGCGGTTACCGAAAACGCTCCACAGTATGAACGCTTATCTCGGGTACGACACACCACACACTCTGATCTGAGGTTTGTTCTAAACACAAGTGAGGAGTCACACAACTTCTCCTGCTCTCTCTCTCTCTCTCTCTCTGTCTGTAGAGCTGCTCCGATCCAGCGATGTCTCGATCTTGGGGCCGACATCGTGGTGACGGGACGCTGCGTGGACAGTGCGGTGGCCCTGGGGCCGCTCATGCACATGGTACGCTTGATTAGGTTGCATGTGGGGCGGGACAGAAACGTGTACATGTGTCCAATTGTGTGTTTATTAACACATCCGTGAGTTTTAAAATGTAACGTCTGTCTGGGTTTTTTGATTCTGTTGCAGTTTGGATGGCAGAGGGATGAATATGACCTACTTGCTGCTGGGAGGTACACACACACACACACACACACACACACACACACACACACACACACACAAACATTAAAACACACCGTTCATACTTCATCGTACACAAAAATCCGATATTTGTGGTATGGAGTCTGTCTGTCTGTTTAAGGACCAGTTCACTAAATGTTGAAAACTTGAACAGCAGCGTCTCTTTCTGTGGTGTGGAACCTTGACCATGTGACCTCACAGTTTTTCAGGGGACACCTAGTGGCCGGAGGTTTTCACAATAACCTGGACAGGAAGCACAGGTTGTTGTTTTTTTCCCGTGACTTTGAAAGTTGACAGGATTGTACAGATTTGACCTCGATACTGTTCCAATATGAGACTTTACCAAACACCGTCTAACAAAAATTTGATTTTAGTCTCATGTAATTAAAAATCCATGTTCCAGGTCTCCATGGTATTTTAAAATAGTTTCTCTTCTTGTTAAACACATTAAACGGCTCTCCACTTCATTCCACTTTACAAACCTCACTGGAATTTTTAACTTCCACCCGTGAATATATTCTGACAGTTGGCGACTGGCGCACAGGGATCTAACGCTGTCTCATTCACGAGTTAAATCATGAGGCGTAGGCGACAGTGGCACGAAGTCCTCGACAACAGAGAGCAGGCTGTCGTCATGACGCTCCATGTTGAGCTGCTGGTTACCGTCAACTCTGCTGCCACTGGCTGCGGTGAATGACGAGTTTCACTTTAGATTTAAAAAACTCAAAATCACTCTCTTTAACTTTATACTTGTGTTTGTGTGTGTTTGTGTGTTTGTGTGTGTTTGTGTCAGTCTTGCAGGTCACCTGATCGAGTGTGGTGCTCAGAGTACAGGAGGGATCTTCACTGACTGGCACAAAGTTCCTGACTGGTGAGAGCGAGTCAGGATTTCAAGGTTGAGTGTGATTGTCACGGTTGAAACGCAGACGTTGAAATTAATTTAATTAAATCTGCTGAGCACGCTCAGGTCAGTAGTTTTTGCAAGTTCCTGCTAACAGACAAACGTCAATGAACACAACGTCCTTGATGAAGGAAAGTCAGTCGGGCTGCAAATGATCCAGGAGAAGGAAAGGATGAGTGAAATCTATGCATCACAGGTGGCATGTGTCTCTCCCAGGGACAACATGGGTTTCCCGGTCGTCGAGTGTTCCAGGGACGGTTCCTTCGTTCTCTCCAAACCGCCCAAAACCGGCGGCCTTGTCTCCTTCGGCACGGTGGCCGAGCAGCTGGTGTATGAGATCGGCGACCCGCGCCGTTACCTGCTGCCCGACGTCATCTGTGACTTCAGCCAGGTGGTCATCAAGGAAATACCAGGTGCACAAACACACACATACACACACACACACACACACACAAACACACATGCAGTCATATTTGAGGACGTGACCACAGGCTGAACTGTCCACTGTTTTCACAACCCTAAACGCTCCTCTGGTGACCTTAAACAAACGCGTCTGCAGCTTCAAGTTCACCCCGAACTGAACCCGTCACCTTCCTCTGAAGCTCCAATAAACTCTGTATCAACCCGTAGTGATTTATTTTCCTTTTTCAAAACCAAACACGTCCCCGTGACCCCGCTGTGGCGTCTAACCCT